GTCCCTGAGCTTTAGTAATGGACCTCTGATTTCCAGGAATGTAGTGGCCTGATCCACGTGACCTACGTGAGAATGTCACCCTTCCCAGCCCTCACCAGAGTCAGAGCAGTGGCCCAGGTGTGTGGAGGAGGCTGCAGTGGACATCCTGGGCCCCAGCTCAGGGAGGAGACCCTCTGCCCCATCACCATGGAGCCTGCAGAGCCCCATGTGGGGAGCCTGAGCCTCTGCCCTGGGTGCTGGAGTGTGCAGAGGAGGCTGGTCCCAGAGAGACCAGGCAGGGCAGAGTGGAAGGTGATGGGAGGGCAGGGCTGGAGCCTCGGGCAGGGTTTGAGGCCCTTGTTCAGGCCTGAGTCTGGGTCTGCCCCTGTCCCCTGATTACTCTGACAGTCACTGTTCCTGTCCCAGCAGAGGTGAAGATGTCCTGAGGACTGGGCTTTGGGCAGAGAAGAATCTTGGCCACAGCCAGCCACCATGGGTCCCTGGAGCGTGAGGGCCACTGAGTGCTCTGCTGGCTGCAGGGCCTTGGGACCCTCACCCTTCCCTGTGGACAGACCGACCTTTGCCCTAGTCCCACCTCCCAGCTCCTGTCTCCCAGGAAGAGAAACCCTCTAGGAACAACCTAGAGACCATGATTCCTCTGTGTGACACAGGAGAGAGCTGACCTGGAACTCGAGGGGAGTGTCTGCTGAGTGTCAGCCAAAAGTGCTGAATAAATACCCCCTTCTCTCCTTTTCGCTTTTAGTTCATGGTCCCGGGTCTTTATTCAGCGCCTTTCCAGGTGACCCACAGGGGAGCTTCCCTCTCTCTGGAAACCCCTGTCCTGGACACAGGCAGCCTGGTTCTGGCCATTCAGCATTCAAGCAGCCTTTCTGGGTCTCCAAAGCCCATGGGACCCCTCCCCTCCAGGTGCCAGAGTCTCCCAGCTCTTTTCTCCATTGCCCATGGTGTGGGGTCCTATGGGGACCCTCCCTCCATCAATATGGAGCCTTGTCTGGTGGAAACTAGGAACCCCCAACGGCTGTGTGGTCGACCCGGCAGTAGATGTCCAGGTCAGGGTTTAGTAATTCCTGAAAAAGAATAAAGAGTCCTCTGACCCTGTGTCCTTCTGAGAACTGGATTCAGGGACTCCTAGGCCCTGCCCCACCTGAGACTGCTCCGTCTTGTGCCCGGCTGGGCTCAGTGGCTCCTGTTTCCAGGTCCCTTCCTCCTGTGCTCACCACCCCCTGATCCTGTTTTGACTACTCTTTCCCGAAAACTCAATAAGTTTCAGCTAGTGGCAGCTCCATGGTCTGGCCTGTGGACAGTGGACCAGAATATTCATCCCCCACACTCACCTGGTAGATGGGAACAGCAGTTTTGTGGCCAGAAACAGGGGCCTGGGCAGGGGAGAAAGAGTGGACATCAGGGTCAGTGAGGGAGGCTCATCAAGACTAGAACTCCAGGGAGCAGGTGCTGGGCAGTGCCTGGAAGGTTCTGGTCTCTGACAGGCCAGAGCTTACTCCCTGTGTCTGCTTTAGCCCTTTCTTCCCAGGAGTTACCAGCTCTGGGTCCTGA